ACCACAACTTTCCCTTTACATGCTCACTTTGTACGTCAGTTCATCTGTTCGTTTCTTGTTTTAAGCGAGAACCATAAGATCGAAAACCTTTCCATGTGTAAACCCCAAACTTCTACCTACAATAGTGTCATTTGGGGTGGTGTGCTTAAAAAGACATATACTCAACGTTGAGTTAATATTTACTTCCCGACGACGTCGTTACGTTACTTGAATTATCGCTTGTAGTGATAATAGTATAATATCCCTAATCAGTTTCCACTTATATTAGTTTGTAAATAAGGCCTTTCGTTCGGCCAAGAACCGCCAAATTGTTACTGATACGAGTTCCTACTTCCTATGCCATTTACTCAAAAGAACGTAAAAATAACAAAAATTCGTTTAAAGAGGGATCGTTACCAAGGGAATTTTCGGACCACTTGAGAAATTCTAGTTCTGACACACTATCTATAGGTAATGGAAGCTTTCGACGTCTACTTCAATTTCAACATTTCTAATTAGGAGTGGTCAAGTGGTGTAATGTTACAATCTTAGCATGAAACGGAGCTTGGAACTTCCCAAAATGCGTTTGGGTCTATAAATACCCAAATCACGTTTTAGGGTAAAAAAAAATTATCAAAGTCCTCGTTTGAGAATCGAAGGGACTTCAGCGCATTTTTGTGTGGCAGATCAGTATTCTATTAGCCACTTTCGATTCAACCATCAATAACAGATCTTGTCGAAGGCTACTACATTCACTAACCGCTTCCCACTTTCCTCGTGCACCCGCAATTCGCTTTTAAAGATTTGACTCCACCATCAGGAAGATCGTGTCGGGGGCTACCACATTCCCTTTGACGGTACCCACTTCCGACGTTCGGTTCACCCGCAATTCGCGTTTGAAGATTTGACTCCACCATCAGGAAGATCGTGTCGGGGGCTACCACATTTCCTTTGACGGTACCCCCTTCCGACGTCCCGTTCACCCGCAATTCGCGATTGAAGATTTGACTCCACCATCAGTGAGATCGTGTCGCGGGCTACCACATTCCTTTGACGGTACCCACTTCCGACGTCCCGTTCACCCGCAATTCGCGTTTGAAGATTTGACTCCACCATCAGGAAGATCGTGTCGGGGGCTACCACATTTCCTTTGACGGTACCCCCTTCCGACGTCCCGTTCACCCGCAATTCGCGATTGAAGATTTGACTCCACCATCAGGAGATCGTGTCGCGGGCTACCACATTCCCTTTTACGGTACCCACTTCCGACGTCCCGTTCACCCGCAATTCGCGTTTGAAGATTTGACTCCACCATCAGGAAGATCGTGTCGGGGGCTACCACATTCCTTTGACGGTACCCCTTCCGACGTCCCGTTCACCGCAATTCGCGTTTGAAGATTTGACTCCACCATCAGGAAGATCGTGTCGGGGGCTACCACATTTCCTTTGACGGTACCCCCTTCCGACGTCCCGTTCACTCGCAATTCACTTCTATTGGCGACACGAGAAAGAGAGACAGCGATTCGAGATTCACGAAACGTTAAACCGCGTGAGTTCGCAACGGAAGGTAAAAGGCGCCTGACTACTTCTCGAAGACGCGCGCGCGCCTCGCAAAAGGTCGTTAATTTCGCCCCTATGACAAAAAACAAAATTCCGCCACGCAGGAGTTGTGCGCGTTTACAACATCTTTCCGACGACACCAATTTCAAAAGAATCGGACCAAAACTGTAGTAGAAGATAGGAAAAAACTGAAAAACCTTCACGTTAGTATACTACGCTCGAGGATGACGCCCAGATGTCGCCAACCCCACATCATGTAGCCATGTCCCTAAGGTTGACAAATTTCACGGCCCTGTAGATACACGTACACCCGTTGCCTTTCTACAAGAGTTCTTCTACGCGCCCACATTTGCTGCCAGCCAGCCAGCCAGCCAGCCAGCCAAAGTGAGATTAAAAGCTACTTTTTACAAAAAAAATTTTTTGCAAAAATGCGCTAAAAATTAACCGCTAGTCGGAACCCCGAACGAAAGTGGTGCAAGTTTTACAAACATAATACCAGTTAGTGCAAAAAAACTTCAACTTTTATTAATGTCATCGATTACAAAAGTGGAATACGTGCCTTACGATGAATGGACATTCTGCACTGCCATAGAGCGCATCCGTTTGTAGCAGGGTACTATTGTCTTCTAATTCAAACTACACCATCTGAATGCTATATTGTCAAATAGTTGCACACGTTCCATTACCTATAGTTTCATATAAAGCAAACGTATAATATACCTATGCCCTTTGTAATTGTAATTTCATGGAAATGTGCACTTTATCTACCAGATGAGATGGAGAGATTTACATTCAGCATCTAGACCCGATGAATTTGAATTCAGTGGTTTCAAGTAGATTTCACAAAGAAATAAACCGACAATCGGGATTCATGACGCCGAAAGGATCTCGGTAATGCATGCTATTCGTAGTAAGGCAGTTTGTCTTAATAAGCATAGAATCATTTTGTTCTCGTCTAAACTTGTTTTGTAACAAGTTGCTAAATGTTGGTAAATCTCCAATAGTGTTTCACAAATTGCATTTCATTATAAACATTCAACAAGTGTAGGTATAGCAACAATTATAATTGGATTTCATATTACTTCTATATTCGGAAGTGTTCCAAATCCAAACTAAAGTGTAATGAAGGAGTCTGAATGAAGAAAAAGGATTGCAAATAATGCGAAACTGCAATTTTTCCTCATTTGCCTAGGTACCTAACGTCTCTCTATTCCTACTAATTTTCCAAATCCGTTTATCTAATGAACATGAGGAAAAACTCATATAATAATATGCCTATTTACAGTACCGAGTTTATCTAGCGAGAAAATATTAACTCGTCCACTTTACGGTTGGTACCTACATTAATTCAATGCTAGAAACTGAAATAATTGTAAGGCAAGCATCGATATTTCAAAATACGCTCGTATATCATCATCTACCAAAATTGACAAATGTTAAAGTGAAGTTGATGGTGACAAACACTTGATAAGTAATTAAGAGCATTCTGTCAAACAATCAACGAAAAGTGTCCCATTTTTAAAGGCATTTAGAAGAGCGCATCTTTTAATTGTTCGTAAAAAAAGTTAGGTAGGTAAGTACATGTTTCAACATTGACGTATAGATATCGTCTTCATCATATTTGATCTACAAAGCAAAATATCATGAGAAGTTCAATGATTTTTATCAAACTCCCAGGAAATTGTATCCAGTAGCAGGTACCTACTACGACTACTTTCCAGACCGTTGGCATAATCGCTATCTGTAGGAATACACTATCTATGCCATTACTATGATTCAAATTTCCATTCTTTTTAAAGAACAAACCCAAATTTTTGGTTGCTTCAAATATTTAATTATACGTTTTACTGTCTAAGCCCTCGAGCCCAAAGGAAGAGGATATTTTGCAATAGTGGTGGAGAAGTGAAAAAACCTATCCATACCTTTCGAAAATTGCAAGAGATTTCTTTTCTATTATGGCGACATCAGCTTCTTCAGAAAAGCTGTTTTCGAGGGCTTCTCTTATTACTACACCGCACAGAAATCGTGTTCTCAACGCATTTACATTGTCGTATGGCCCATCTTAAAAAAAACACCGTGTATAATCAAAGTAGCATATTTTTTCTGACTTCTACCAACCCTTCTAGGTCGATTCAAAATAGGTCCACTTTCTTCCAATTTTAGAGCCTTTGCTACATTTATTGGTATTTAGTACGCTGTACCCCTTACATCAAAGTGGCGTGATTAGCTTCCTAGCTCGTGCTTGGTGGCTATTGCAATCAGCGTTTTCGGACCTCATCAAATTTGTTAGACCATTTTAAGCAGAATGAAATCTTTTTCCGTCTGTATATGTACTCGCGTACGCGCGTATACTTGCATACTGGTAGGTAAGAAGGCTACACTACGCTATGCGTAATTTAAAGTCCGTAGAAGGACTCAACTGGCTCCGTGGCGCATTAATAGGTGGAAGTAATAGAATATGAATATAGTGGAGATGCGTGATCTTTCGCCTTCTTAAATACCGGGTAGGTACAGTGCGTACCTACGTTGGCAATTTTCCGTGGTACCGGCTTGACGGATTATATTCAAATTTTGGACATGTATATGAATCATACGGAAACAAAAAATAACCCCTCGGATTTGAAAAAAATTTTGGAGCGTCGTAACGGCAGTGAACTTTTTTTACAAATAGCCGTATCGTATAATCTATAGCTTTCGCTTTTTGTTGCATTCCTTTTCATTAATTATAGTCGTTTCGCTTCCCTGCATTTTCTGTCCCAGATCAAATTGTCTACGGTTCCCGCTTTTTTGTTTTAGCATTCACCAGTAAGCGGCCGCCGCTTGCCCTTTTAGAATTCCTAGAGTTGCCGTTTGAGTTTGCCCAAAGCTCCCGAGACCGATCCGCCTAACCGCTGCTACCGCCGATCTTGACCAGAGGCAAGGCCGTACCCTTGATGGCGTAGTCCGTCCGTTCCCCGACAGAACACCTAGGTTGCCGCTACTTTCGTTCAATCACATTGACTATAATTTTTAAACTTATTTATTTTATTTTTTATTTGCCTATTATATGCCAATTATATCTGTCATATGAGATATATAAAGTAGTCTATAATGCCCGAGGGTCCTCAAACGGCCTGTGAAATATATTCATGGTATGTGACAAAAAAAGAAGCTACTTGCTTCCTACGAAGCACTTTAATGTTGGTCGAACAATAATCATTACATTTGTATATTGGTTTGCCGCACTGCAACACATTTATTTAGCTACTGTTTTTTCACCTACTAAAATTGGCCGGATTGAAATTTCGTGCCCAATTAACACCTATGGTTAATTGAAATTTTATTTCTCTTCTTGAAAAGTAGCACAGGGGGATCAAGTTGTTTATGAGACACGTCATGACAGATGGATCCGGTTATATAAAAAATTATACCCATCATACATTTTAATTGTTTGAATTTGGTGAAATTTCAAATTTGTCTAATAAATATTCAACAAAACTTTTATTGTAAAACATGCAATAATTCTACAGTACTAGATATAATTATGTAAAACCCTGAAGTTTGTAGTTGTCTACTGGTAGCTAGATAGAGAAAATAAATACTCAAAGTATACTAATGTATTGTACTACACTTGTAATTTTGTTTCTCAAAAATCACTGAAACTTTCATAATTTTAATATTACTTCACTGTTACCTACTTAAATGTCATTGTCTCACAAAATAATATAATGTTTCCTATCACCATTTTAAAAGATATGTGATGATACCTACTTATGTCAAATTCTAGCATTAATCAGTCACCATTACTACCTTTTAAACCAATAGATGCTGATAGTGTTCACGTCTGAAATCTCAAAGCTGTTATTTATCTTTGTTAAGAATTATTTTGCACCGCAAGTTGCGTTAATTACGGACAATTATTTATTAATCTGAAAACAAGAATGCAGCTAAAATCAAAAATGTACTTTTTAGAATCACATCTCATGCGATTTCACGTTGAACCTTGAAGGTAGTTACACTCTGAGCAAGTTATAATTAGAAAAATTGAGTTCCAGGGTGGAAAGGATCAGATTATCCTTCACTATCAGAATCTATTATCTCAAACCACACTCACAACAACATGTACCTACCTCTGCATGCAAATTCTCTTAAAAATGCACCAATTCTCTCAAAACCACAATCAGTTCAATACAAATAATACAATAAATATTTTCCCCAAGCAATCATCTTTACAATAAAATCAACCTCTCACACACGTTGTATGATGTAGCTATATAAAAGAGAGAGAGCTCTATTAGAGCATACATATATTATATAAAAGCAAAAATGTAGCCACTACCAAAGAGTAATAAATATTCAACATGATTCAACATGAGATAGGTACCTACAGCAAAATTAATGTAATACTTCATGCGCTAGTAACTGTAGTTACAGCGGCCTGTATTTGAATGAGAAAAATGTTCTCATAAATGCCTATTTATTGAATACTGTATAGTTAGTACTCTTTGCTCTTACCAAATAACGAGGCAGTAGTAAAAAAATAATATAAGAATATAAAAGAGAGACAAGTGTGTCTTTTTACAATCACATTCAAATAATGGGTGAAAAAAATCAGGAACCAATAGCTAATGACACATTTTTATTATCAAAAAATCGCCCATACTTCCTGCTGAGTTGTTCAACAAACTCCTCCTTTAAATTTTGCAAACACCTACAACAAAAGTGATTACTTAATGATATTCACTTCCACATTGAGACAGTTACATTCTGTAAATTGACGAATGTCGAAATTTTCCAATATCGTGACTGGGGGCATGTGGCTTGTGTATAATAAAAGCGTTTGGTAAAACGATAAAATCGTAACCTTGAGCTTCAAGCTCCATCACATGCGAAACTTTATTCCACCCGAACCCTAGGAATCTTCTGTCGTACTCTGTTACGTTGGCGCGTACGACAATATAAGGTTCGAAATCGGGCTGCCACTTGACCTGCGAAATTTCGATTAAAGAGACTATTTTTCCTAGCAGAGACAAGCTCAACTTTATATGGTGTTGAGGCCGTCTTCCATTTTTGGTAATTGACCGGCGAATGTCCCATCGGCCAAACATCATAGCGGAATGTATACACAGATTTATTGTTTAGCATTTGTAATAATTCCTTCTTATTTTTTGGTAAACTAGTTCGATATCTTTGGCTTTCAAAAGCTGGCACTATAAGAGCCTAAAAATTGCCAATTATTAAAAATTCTCTTTGCTTAGTACTTATTTGTTACTGTGTTTTACAGGGGTTAGTGATTTTTATATTTTTCTAAGAAGAACAAGCCGTGTATTTATGTACCTTTGTGTACCAAGTACATACTAAATACCTACCTTCTTATACATACTGCTGAACGTACTAATGTAGTCTTTTAAATTAGAGTACAAATCGTGCATTGTCAAAAAGTCAGCATCAGCCAAGAAGACATAAGGGGTTGTAATCTGTCGTAATCCCACGTTTCGCAACTCATTTATTGGATACGAATCTCCACTTTTAAAAACTGCATGAAAGGCTATGTCCGACCTGTCCTTCAACACATCGGAACTTTCAATGAAATTTATCGTTTGTTGGAGTTCGGTGTCGGTTACATAAAAAGTGAGACTTACTGGACCTACCAAAAAAAAAACTAGATTGATTTCTTTTACCACCAAACCTACCCTCCCAATACTTGCAGAGTTCCTCGACAAGTTGCAGCCTATCAAATGATAGTTGCACTAAAATGGTTACATCGTCCTTCACAGGGGCGTAACTGTATTCGCGAAAGAATAGTAGGGTCCTCCATTTTTGGAATGAAGCTTTCCGAAAATCCGAGCAGACATCAATTGGTGGTTCCTAAAAGAACGTCTTGAAACTAACTTTGGGCGAATGCAGACGAAATCAACATAGCTAAATGACTCGCCTACCGTGACATTTTTTGAGTTAGGTTCACAGTTGAATAGCTGTCGTTTTAATAGATCTCCATTTAAATCTAAAAATGTTCTATACAAAGTTCTAAAATATTCGCCGTCTGGATTGATCACATTGAATTTCTTGGGCGAGTTCCAATGGACGACTTTGATGGGATATTTCTGGTAGCATTCCTGACTTTGGGTATGGTCACTTAACTGAACATTCCATGCGCAATGTACACGATACACGATATTTGGATCTTGCTTAATTACAGAGTTCATGATGTCTTGGTCGGCAAGTCGAGTGGCTCCAAAGATCGATGCTGTTTTTTTCGCGTTACGAATCCATAGCTTTTCCCAATCCAAATTCTTCAATCTGTCTATGTAATACAGGATGATTCCAGTGTTGAAACTGCAAAGAAAACAAGAAATTTAAGGCATATTTTAGTAGACCTCAAATATTTTTTGCCCTGACCTACTTTTTAATGACTTTAAACATAAATCTTTTATACCAAATAAAAAAAAATCGAGTCCTACCCCTATGGTTACACAATGCAAAAAATTCAAAATAAGTCGACCATTGATTTTCCCCGTTGGAAGGGTAGCAGCAATTTGGAAAACTGAATGGTGAAACGCCTTCTCCAATACAATGGAACCTTGGGTAAAAATTTGGTTACTGAATCTCGATAGAAGGTTCACGGCTATGAACCCAGAATAAACCGTGCTTCAGGTTTTACGCAATTTATTCGTTGAAATTTGGTTTATTTACTCAAATAGTTACCATTGTTGAGCGGTATGGAAATGTCCAAATTTATCCTTATAATTTTAGGGTCTGCGGAAAACAAAAGCACGAATTAATGGTCTTTAACTTCTTTACCAGTTGCCGTGTTATTTACATTTTATTTTATTAGCACCTCGTGTAAACAAATGAAGTGATTAATAAACTAGTTTTTTAACGTAACTAGCCACTCCAAATATAACGCAACGAAATTTAACCCCAGAGCCTTCGTAGTTATAATGTATTTTTACGCTACTCCGATAATGCAACGCAACAGATAAAAATCAGAATTACACTTTCCTAGAAAAGTTATGCTCCTTATTAGTTTACTCAGTCTTCAATTTTGCAAATGCAATGATTCTGTATTCTATGCAGGTTAGTAAGTATCAAAACCTTTCTGGATCATGAGGCCGAAGAGGTCGCCGTCGGTAAATTTAGGAAAGAAAAATCCGCTGTCGTTTTTCGCACAGATATAATTTAATACTTAATACGACTTTCATTTAAAAGTCATTAGGTGCTAAAGAAGTACACTGGCTATATTAAACCAGAAGTACACATATACTAATTGTCTCATTTATTGGCATTTTAATAAGGATTATATACCCTTCAGAGTTGTGCTACGTCAACTTACATGTATACTCTGCTATATTTCATGTTTTCAATCACTACATAGGAAAATTTTTCGAAAATCCCCCTTGTAGTTAGTTGACCAACATCACACCAGCAAAGGTTTGACAAGAACGTGTCAACATGACGTGCCATTTGTTCAAGGAATCAGACTGTATATACAGCGAGTTTTTCTCAAAAATGCAAATTGCAATGCAATTATCCCTATGTTTACTTTTCCAAAAAATTGAATTGGGTAAATGAGTTTTAAGTGTAAATATTTGACAGGTGCAGATTTATTCATTTGTTATTTAACTGGAACCACTTATTTTTGCTGATTATAGAATAGATTGTACTGCTTTTTTTTAAGTGAACATGGGAATAAATTCCATTGCTCACTACATAAGTGAACAAAGGTAAAACTTCCTTCTCGCAAGGGGATTGTAAGACTGTAGTATTTACCCTTTTCCAACAGCAGGCCACGGTGATGAAAAGAACTTTCCCAAATAATACTCGCTTTGATTTTCAACCAGTCCCACAGCCTAAAGCACAATTTTACATTACAAAAATACTGAAAAGTATACAAGTTCAACCTGTTTCTTTTCAAATTTATCAAACTCTCTCCAAAGCTCGTAAATATTTCCGACAAATGTTAAATCTGTGTCCAGCACAATGATTTTGTTCGTCACAGCCACCGGTACCACCTTGGGAAACAGTAACTTTAATAATCCGTAAATTCCCGAATAATGGCCATTGGGAACCCATCGCACATCCGCGACATACTCTGATATATTATAAAAAGTTACGGTAACTGAAATAAATGCAAATTTAAGGGTCGGTTCGCACATCAAAAGTTTACCTTGAGGAACAGCCCATGTGTCAAACAATGTCTTTAGCACCTTCTTCGAGATCTTGTTAGCCATAATGTGAAAATGAATTGGATTATTCGAGTGGAAATAAAAAGATTTAAGCATTGTGTGAAAATATAAATTAGATTTGTATCCGCTACAGACTACTCCTACATGTACAACTTCACAGTGCTTCCTTTTGTTTTCATCTATATCATCAGTGCTATGGAAAACATTGACTAGATCACTTTTCACTATGTTCACATTATGAATTTGGGAAAGTAGAAGTTGTTTGTTAAATTGATGACTTTTGTGTCTTGCTATGGTACGATCAATTTGAAACACTGAAAGGTACAAGAATGTAAGAAACCAAAGTACCAAATACTAAACCTACCTGGTGAGTATTGCGACAAGAAATTTATCACAATTAATACTATAATAACGCAGAGAAATGCTAGAATTAATCCGTGTCTAGTTGCAATAATAAAAAAATGCATTGTGTTTTCGCAAGCGAACTGTGTAGTACTGTATTAGGTGCATTATCAATCAACTACACTTTCGGTTTAATTAATCCCACGCCATTGTAAATGCAAATTTTATGCCATATCCTAAGTATTCTAGAATTTATCTACCCGAATTTTAAACTTTAAAGGTCTGTAGGAACTTTCCATTTCCACTGTATTGCTGGAAGAACTCTTTTGTAATTGATTAAAAGAGAATATTATATGTGAAACTGGATAGGGGTAGGTTGTTCATATTTAATTTTCATAATAAATATATAAACCATAAAAATGGTTATCTATAGGACAGTCTAGAATTCTAGATACAAAAACAAGACTGCCTATACCACAATCTATTGAATCTAGACTGTGTCTATACAAACGACTCAACAGTGTTGCCAAGACTACTTTTATTTATTATTCAATGATTGAAAACAACAATAGAATTAGTTCTTGACTTGTACCACAATAGCCAGCGTACCTTTTCAATACCTAATGAGTTTTGGAATCAGAAGTATACAAATCAACTCAAAACCACAACAATTTAAACTTTTCTGAATACGATCTTCGTATATCTACCTATAAGGTATACTCGCTTTGCTGTTTGCGCTGGGTGTCAGTGCCAGGATTAAAGACTGGGGCTCAGAGTCAACAAGCAACCGGACTCAGACAGTCCAGTGCCCTTTTAACAGGTATCTTTGCAAATTTGGGTCTTCTCAACAGAATAGAAGCCAGATTAAGAAGATCACTTGGTGGTGTCCTCTTCCTTTTAGCCAACTTATCACATGCACAACATATTAGGCCTACGTGCAGATACTAAGGCAAGGCAGATGAAACTCCTGATGAGCATGTGGTCTGTCACTGTGACGCTTTGATTAGGGACAGACATCAGCTCCAGGCTTCAGTATAGAACCGGGAAGGGTGAAGCAACTTTTAGGCCAGTAACGCACTTCCGAAGAAATAAGGGAGTAGGTACAATGGGCCTTTGTTGTGCCTCTTGGTCGAGCTCCCCTTGTGACTTAAATTGAATTGAATCCATTTTTTGGACTCTGTTAGTTCAATTTACGGTGCAACCTAACCTAAACAAACTTCACCCCTTTATACAAAGGATGGAGAAGGCATTCTACTTATTTAGAATAATTTAACTGTCGGGCTCCCTTTTCTTATATCAAGAACTCTTGAACTTTATGGGAGCATTCGCCAGAACAGGCTTAATTTGGATTTCAAAATTTTATAAATGAGAAACCTGCATCTTCATAAACCCAAAATATGGTAATTACTTACTTATACAACATTCTGGGTACGAAATGTTTTAGACATACTTATAGGTACTTACATAAATCGACCAATTAAAACCTTTTCGGTAGAGAATATATTCAATAAATGCAATTTGAATTAGTTAATAAATTAACAGTATGAATAATGTGCTCCAACTGGTATTTCAGGAAAGTATAAGTTAATAGGTATGTGCTCCAAAAAAATCAACTAATTGCCGCTTTTAATCATGGGTACCTTTGTGTACTCGATATTTTGGGAAAAATGAGTACAGCTCGTTTAGAGAGAATTACAAATTGAGCTAATAATAAGCGTCAATTAGATCACGTTTATTTTCATGATCAAGTATCATAAATCCCAGATGTAACTCATTACATCATCATCAGGTTTTAGACATTTTTTTGGTTTTTTTTAGCCCGCGGGTAAAGCGCTGTTTACATGATGAAAGTTTGAAAGTTGGTGCTACAATGGCGTAGCATAGGGTGAATCTGTTGATATCAAATGTGGGTGTGTCCTTTTTAAATGATAATTCGGTTGACGAAACTCCGTATCAAAAATTTCCAAACAAATTTGATTAACAAATTGAAAGATGTTTGCATTTTGCACTAAACTGTAACTGTCAAAACGTTGAAACGTCAAAACTTAATAACAATTATAGGTTATAACATCCTTTTACAACAAAAAATATAATAATAATTAATGACAACGCACAGTTTCCTTTAAAAAATGACTGTATTACTAAAGCTTTTTCTAAATTTAAAATTTTTATGTTAATGTAAATAAGATGTCTCGATTAGCTGATTACTTTGTAGTTGTTGGATATGATCATGAAAAAGAACGTAAGCTTGACAAGTTATCAAAGAAAAAGTCTAAGTTTCTCAATGCAGGTAGTGGCATAAGCAGTGGAATAATTCTTCAAAGATTTCCAGAGAAGGACTGGCCAGACACACCGTTTATTGAAGGAATCGAATGGGTAAATTGCAAAGTTTGTAGTGCGCATATTGAAGTGTTGGATTTCAGTTTTGTCAACCGCAAGGATGGGCCCTATCGACCGACAGGCAAGAGCCACAATTTTTCGTCTCTGTACTTACAGATATAGACGCAAACCGACACTATTGCGCCTGTCTCTGTTTTAATGAGACAGTATCGATAACTCCCAGTAAACCCGTGGACGAGGTTAGTGTCTGTTGTATCAGAGATTCGGTTTTATTAATCTGATTTTAGGAGGAAGATGCTGTGGAAGGTGAAACTGCTTTAGTACGTCCGTTGCCTACAATAACTCATCATAGTATAATGTACGCACCGAAATGCTTAGTTCTTGTTTCAAGACTGGATTACATAGAAACCTTTCGTGTAAGTGGTATAGTGTAACAAATAGAATAGTGAGACAACACTACAGAGAAAAAGGGAAACTGATTCGGAAATTGAAGTTTAATAGTTGTATATCCGAGATACTGGAAAGGCAGATTTTAAAGGTGGTTACACCAATGAAGATAATACCGTCATGAATTTGCGGAATTAATGTATTTTTTGTACCTACTTTTATTACATAAGTACAAAGGCTTAAGAGGGGCCTCGGAGGGGCCACTTGTAGATTTTGTTTGTACTTGAACTTTCATGTTTGGTTTGATGTTTGAGTTTAAAAAAGCGAATGAATACTCTGCAGTCAGACTGAGGTTTAAATTCAGCAGGGAATCAAAATTTTAATTTACTGACTACAGCCTCTGTGAGTTCTTACAGAGTTTAGGACCTCTCAGACCAGTATAGCAAACTATGGTACGCATATACCACTAGTGGTACGTGAAGCTTCTCAGGGTGGTACGCAAGCAGCCATAACCATAATAGGGCCATAGATATAGGGCTTGCGATAAGGGTTTGAAAGCTGAATTTACTAAACCACAGCTATGTGAATTTTGGGTCCAAGTTAAAAATGAATATCGATCCCTGTCCAGAAAAGCGTTATTTTTGATTCCATTTACTACCACCTATCTTTGTGAGAGCGAATTTTCTGCTGTTGGTGTTAAAAAACAAATACCGAAATAAGCTTAATATAGACCCAAATTTGTTTCGAGCATGCAGCACCATTGTTTGCATTAAGTAACTAGGGTTACCAGGTGTTCGGGTTTCACCCGGAGTTTCCGGGTTTCCATTACATTTTCCGGGCTACGGGTTTACATCCCGTTCCTCCGGGGCGCGCTTATAGACGCGTCATTTGTAATTTTTGCGAATCTAAAGTCTTGTGTCCAGCATTAAAGAAAAACACACTTTGCGCGATCCGCGAAATTGCGGCGTTTCTCGGTTTAGCAATTTTAGCACTACTTTTTTGAGTTTACAGATTTCATTGCTAAGCTTGAGCAAGCACTTTTACATTTTTTATAAAGTGCGTGAATGTTTCTTTTTTTAGAATTATTGTTGTTTTGTTTATATTTTGAGTTTTGAAATGTTATTTATGTTGGTATACCTACTAATAAGTAATAAAAGCAATTATATGAACAAATGGCTTAAAAACTCGCATAATCAACCACCAAAATTTGGTGCCTAGAGAACACAAATCTCATAATGTTGTGTAAAATTGTTAAAAATGTCCTAGACCACCTCTCTGGGGTACGCGGGTACCCCCCCCCCCACTGTATTTTCCCGCGCGCACCTCTACTCAGGGTTAAGCCTTATTTCAATTTGACAACCCTAACTAACTACTTACTAATAAACAACATGTTTATAAACAATTCCAATTCTTTATTACTTTACCTGGTAAAATTAACCATTTTTAAAGATTTATTAGAACTTTTAACAAGCCAGTGGTCGCGACGAATCTATACAATATCACGCTAAAAAAAAACATTCCTTAAAAATCCAATATGCGTCTATAAGAAATAAGTAGGTAGTACCTTGTACCATCCAATGTGCTGTGGACATTCTGACAACAAATTCAGATTCCGGCCATTTTTGGCCGTTTAGGCTAGGCAAATCTTTGCCCCCATTTAACCTACACTGTACCTCTCGCCATTATGGAGATTAGGAGATCCCAATGGTGAGCTACGAATTTGAACCACCCTGTAGCTACATACATACAGACGGAAAAAATATTCTTTAAAAATGATTAAAAATGGTCTAAAACGTCCACATTTGCTGAAATTTTATCATGTCCAAATACGACGATCGCAATAGCCACCTAGCTTAAGCTAGGAAGCTAATAATCCCTTTGAAAATAATTCGTGAAGGGGATAGATAAATGAATCAGTTTACGAAACACAAGAAAACTAAAAAACTGTTGGGGAGGGGGTTATTTAACTGCACCTGTTAGTTAGTGGGGGTCAACTTGAAGACTTTTAAACCAGTTAACCTTACTTTAACGGCAAGGGTAGATAAAGTGAGGCAAATCATTGTGCAGCAAGTGGAACAATACTTGGTGGCGATGTTGCCACTAAGTGAACTTCGCCCTTTAGATTTACATCTAATAAGGGCGTTATTATTATTCCAATGGCATCTGTGAATCGTATTGAATATGGGACGCGGAGCACGATATAAAATGAAGTTCAAAACAAAATACATTGTTTCCATGGGAACAACGGGAGAACCCAAGCTTACTATTTTAGACGTCTAAATGAAATAAACAATAAAATACATAGTGCACCAAATACAGTCAATTTGTAAATTGTTACATAAATAGTTATTTTACCCAAGTACATTGGCAATCAAAGCGAATGGAAGTTGTCTCACTATTCTATTCCATACACAATTGGCATTGGGTACAATTTTCGTTTTAGAATTGTTTGGGAATTATTTACACCGTCTACATCGAAAATGTTGGCGTGCCTTTAGAGACTTTGGTTGGAAATATTATCGGTTGCATTCAGGTACCTCCACCCGGTGGACCACAGGTACGTTTTAGTATTGGAGCAGGAGATCGTCAAGCGCTTCAGCCACCCATTAGCCCCTCTCTCCCCGTCACTCATACATCGGTCAATTTACTTTTTCAACAATTAGGTGAGGTGCACTCCGCAATAACGTTTTCTTCAGGATCGTGTGTTTCAGGAATCAGAAATGTATTAGTGTTATTTTGTGCCATAATGACCGAACACAAAATTTTGTTTCATTCCAAGAGTTATAATCGTTTAACGGAGGCCTGCAGGGCATTAACGGCTTTGATGTATCCGTTTAGGTACAATCATGTTTATATACCTCTTTTGCCCGCGCCGTTAGTTGAAGTCCTTTCGACACCTACACCATTCGTGATCGGCGTTCATTCATCTTTAAAGACGGAAGTCTCTGATATGGTAAGTATTTCATTTGTTATTTTGGGGGCCTGATTCTACTTTTCTCCTCTCCACAAATAAGAAAGTTGCATTTGTTTTGTGTTTGGATTGACAGAAGAGTCTAATTGGTATTGAAATGCCTAATAGGGGTCGTGCTAAAAATCTTCCTATGTTTGCTTTAATTTCAGATGGATGTAATAGTCGCAGATTTGGATGGTGGTTCTATCTCTGTACCTGATGGTGTGTCTCTACCACTTTTACCTGAACCACTTTTAAGTAACACCCAAGAAGCCCTTAGTCTTATTTTACAGCCCGAACTGGGAAGTGCAGACTATGCGTTCCCGCCACTTGCCGTACGCGCTCCCCAGCCAGTTATGCTAGATAAAGAAATTCGCGCCGTCTTCATGAGAGCTTTCGCGCAACTTCTGCAGGGATATCGTAGTTGTCTAACGTTAATAAGAATTCATCCGAAACCAGTTATAACATTCCACAAAGCCGCATTCTTGGGAGAGAGGAACTTAATCGACTGTGATTTTTCGACGCGAGTTTTGGATTGTATGTTTTTTACGAGTTTCGTTAGCGAACGAGGCCCGCCCTGGCGACCTTGCGATGTTTGGGACGAGCTTTACAGTAACTTCGGGGAGTTATTTAAATTAGAAGTGCAAGACTCTCGTATGTTACTGATGCATATACAAGAGTTGGCCCAACAGTTGTATACTAACGAAAATCCCAATCCTCAGTCTTACGCTCAAAAAATTTTAGTACCGCCAGAGGGCGCTTTTGCAAGGATACACCAGCCGTCCTTTCGTGTGATTAATCCGGGACAAGTTCAAGCGATTATTGCGGAAGGGTTAGCTAAAAATAATCTTAAATCGAGGTTAGTCTATTTCTATCCTAAATCAATTTAACAAAGACAATCCACAAAATATAATAGGTATTTACTTGCTAAAATACTAATTTTTCATTTTTTTACAATGCTTAAGTGGAGAGTATGCATGGTAAGACAGGATTTGTTTCAATTGGTATAACTAATAAATGTGTATAATTGTTCCGCAAGGTTGGCATCACTGAGACCTATGCAACCTAGAATTGTACCAACAGGCCAACACATATCTAACCTCAACGACCACAAAAACATTGTAAGCAATTCTGCCAGAAGATTAGAGGTAAGAACATGTTATTCTGTGCGGCAAATACAACTTCAACTTTGATAGGTTTTGAGAAATTGCATTAATTGCATATTCGAAAATAAAATATCGGATGCTCGGAAGACCTTTCCGGCCGTACTGCGCGCTTTAAAGTCGAAACAGGCTCGACTCGCTCTATGCAATGAATTAAGTCAGCATGTTATCGGAAATAAAGCGATGCTCGAGCATCAACAATTCGATTTAGTGGTGAGATTGATGAACTGCGCCCTTCAGGATGATTCTTCTATGGACGAACACGGCGTGGCCGCTGCGTTGTTGCCTTTGGCAACGGCTTTCTGTCGAAAATTGTGCACTGGAGTTATTCAGTTTGCTTATACGTGCATTCAGGTAAATGTATTTTCGAGGGGGGGGGGGGGGGGAGTGAGATCACACAATATTATCTAACCTTAAAAGATCTTGTAAAATAAATTCAAAACAAAACAAAAAATTCCCCAACTTTTACTCTTTATAGGAACACGCAGTTTGGCAAAATCAACAATTTTGGGAGGCGGCGTTCTATCTTGACGTGCAAAAAGATATTAAAGCCTTGTATTTACCTCGACTCGATAGCATCTCCCCACGTCTTGGTACCGATCACATTCTGGCAACACCTACGTCGCCGCGCGACAGTAAAGACTTCGCCTGGCAAAATAGAAGATCGGTGATAAGTCGGGTACAGGAACCGAGCGCGTTGGAAATAGCGGCTGAGCAGATGAGACTGTGGTCTTCTGTTGATTCAGAAAAGCAGAAGGAGTTGATAACTAGTGAAGAAAGCACTTTGTACAGTCAGGCGATTCACTACGCGAATCGGATGGTTTCACTTTTAATTCCCTTGGACATTGGCAATCGGTTACATAAGCAAGATCACAGCCTTGACGAAGAGAGGGCAAGTAATAGTATTGCTAACAGGTATGTTGTTTGAGCAAGTTATTTTGTGTAGGGCTGCATGTATCTTTACGCAATAAGTTGTTGGTGCACGACATACACAGTTCTTCTCAAATGGATTCAGTTGAGTCCCCCTTCCTATTCGTTTTCGGCATTGTTTAATACTCTTTAACAATACTTATTAGTGTTGCAGAAAGCGACAGCGCTGATGCGGAGTCCGGATTCGAAGAGCAGGAACAAGGTGAAACCGGTTCACAAGTGATAAGATTGGTAACGCGTTTTGTGGATAAAGTTTGTAACGAAGGGGGAGTTAGTAGGGAGCACATTCGTAACTTGCACCAAATGGTGCCAGGGGTGGTGCACATACATATCGAAACATTAGAGGCAGTGTACCGAGAGTCAAAGAGACTTCCACCGATTCAGAAACCCAAGATCTTAACGCCCAACATGTTACCGGGTGAAGAAGTCTTGATGGACGGACTGCGGGTGTACTTACTGCCAGATGGAAGGGAAGAAAGTATGGCCGGCTTGCTGGGAGGACCGCCGCTTTTACCTGCTGAAGGGGCAATCTTCCTTACCAACTATAGAATTGTATTTAAAGGAATACCATGTGATTCTTTTGGTAAGAGATGTTCGTGTTATTGGGAGCGGTTAATATTGCAAAAGAGAACAGAAAATTATAAAGGCACTTAAAGCTGTTTTCACTGTTACTGGTCCATTTTGACCTTCGAAAGCTACTTTAGGTTATGTTACTGTTCAAAAATGTGTCTTATATGTGTGTCTGAAGCTCATGACTCATTGATGCCATCTATTGTAGTATGAGCCGCATTCAAACCCATGTTCCATTTTGGTGGGCGAACATAAATTTGTGACAAAGGTATTTATTGCAGCATGCGAGCAGGTAGTTGTACGATCGTTTCCGATAATGTCCCTAACCAAAGAAAAACGAGTAACCGTCCAGTACCTAGCGCACTTGGATCAGTGGCTTCAGGAGGGATTACAGATACGATCGTGCACGTTTCAGTTACTAAAATTGGCGTTTGACGAGGAGGTAACGCCCGAAAATATCGACGCCATGAGAAAAACGATTCACAAAGTGAGATACCCACCAGACGTGTTTCACCATTTCGCGTTTACCGGTCAAGTTGTTGTGACGCAAACTCCGCTTCACAAAAACAAAGAAAAAAATGCCACCTTAAGGTAGATGGGTAACAAACTGAAACGTACAAATTTGATTAATTTGTCCATAGGGGGTTCGCCAAGAAGACCTTTTTAAAGACGGCACGTAAGGCCGGCTTCAAACAAAAAGATAAGAGGCAAAAATATGTGTTTCCGAATATGAATATGAATAATAGCAATAAATATATGACATCCCCAGGACGTATGAGTTTGCCACCAGACGATTTCAATCACGATGATGATTTATCCATAGATGACTTCGAAACTGGTCCGCCGTCCTCAGTACCTCCACCTGCTCCAACTGACGCGAAAACTTTAGAAAGATTAATAGAACGTAGTTACGTGAAGGATTGGCAAAGACTCGGTCTATGCAACTTCGGCAATTCCCCGTCGAATTCGAAACAGAAAACTGACCAGTTTCGTCTTACCACCGTTAACACCCTGTACATGATGTGTCGAAGGTGTATTTTTCCCTTTGCAATTTAATATTAAGACCGTATTTTTAGTTATCCAGCTTTGCTAGTCGTTCCAGCTGCCGTCACAGATGAAAGCATAAGGAGATTTTGTCGATGTTATAGACAGGGACGGATTTCCTCTATTACTTGGCGACATCCTAGGACGAAGGCGCTGTTGTTACGGGGCGGCGGTCATCATGGGAAAGGTGTAATGGGTATGTTAAAGGGCCACCCTACATCGACATCTACGGGTACAGAAACCACATCTTCCATTGAACAGGTATTTTCCGCAACTACTTTTTGGGTGATAACCTTTAGTTTTGTATAGGAGAAGTATTTGTCGGCACTTGTCGCGGCAACGCCAATATTCGCATTGAGGCAAGGGTCGGCGTGGGGAATGTCCGATAGCAGTTTGAGCATTGATTCATTGCTTCTGGCTGCCGAGGATCCTCTAATTGCTGGTACACTCACACCCGAAGTCGCAAGGCGATCAAATCCTTTCAATAAAGCAATAGGTACCCTGGGGTATGTGAACGTGTTAAATTTGGCAATGGTGTTGAAACTCATTTTGTAGAGTTTTTCCGCGCACAAGCGGGGGTAAAGGTCCCAAAAATTTTGGACGTTGGGGATCTTTGAAAGATAGAAGGCAAAGTTCGCAGGCGTCGCTAAGCACTGTACCACAAGCGCGAGGTAATGTCCGACATTCTACAGATTGTGATACTGGTCTGGACGGCGTTCACACCTTCCAGAGAGCAGCACTTTATATTTTAGGTAAAGTTTGTTTGTTCGTAGCGTAACGCTATAGTTTTACCTTACAGGAGAAAAGGCCCACATGAAGGGTGTTAAAATAGAATCCTCACCAAAGACTGATTTTATACCTGTAGAGTATTTTGATGTTAGGCATACGAAGGCAGCTTTTAAGAAATTAATGCGAGCTTGCATTCCTAGCGCGCAAAACTCAGAACCTGAACAAAGCTTTCATAAGTAACACACTTTTTTTCTTTAAACCCTTAATTCTTATCTTTTTAGATTAATTGAAAATTCCGAATGGTTACAGCAAATACAAAATATCATGCAATTGTCTGGGGCCGTCGTCGATTTGTTAGATTTACAAGGGTCCAGTGTTGCCATTTGCTTAGAGGACGGATGGGATATCACCGCTCAAGTGTCATCGGTTGCTCAATTGTGTTTAGATCCGTACTATAGAACGATAGAGGGTTTTAGGGTGCTAATTGAGAAGGAATGGATTGGATTCGGTCACAGATTTAGTCACCGAAGCAACTTCAGTCCAAACTCACAAGCCAGTGGTTTTGCGCCAACTTTTTTGCAGTTTTTGGATGTAATTCATCAAGTAAGTTATCAACATTTGCTGAAACTGCAATCAAAAAATAAATGTTAATAGGAAGCACACTGACATAAGCTGTACTATAATAGTAATGTCATAAAGTTAGTTACGATACTAATTATTTCTAGCAATTATACGTTTATATCAATGATTCATAGTAAATGAAAAGATTCTTTTGAACCACAGGTCGCAACCTTCGAGCTCAGAAAGGGCGCTTTTCTGCCTTATCTGTAATAGATAAAAACACAAACAAAAAATGAGATGGGATAGTGAATAGCGCGGCACAAATATTGCGATAGCAATGTCTAACATTTGACACTCGGGTACTTGTATACTAAAACCGTAATTAACACTTAATAAGAATCAATTCAATTTACGTTGGTTAAACAAAATTATTGACTATCGTGAACTAATTGGAAATATTAATTTAATAAGGAGTACTCTTTGTTTTTGTCCACGTATAACAAAGGAATTTGGAACAAATGAAAATAATTAACGGGTTAATTTGTTACGGTTATAGACAATAGTTCTGAAGGAACGTGTAATATCATTTTTTCGTAAGCCAAGATTTTCTCTGGGCGACTTTAGACTGCGTTCCTGTACTTGGATCATTAGATCTTTTACATTATCTCGTACATTATAATACAAAAAAATTGATTCTTTCTTGTTTAATTTCTTATAACGATGAGTTTATTATATATTTTTTGTTCTAGATTCAAAAGCAATTTCCAATGGCGTTCGAGTTTAACGAATATTATCTACGTTTCCTCGCTTACCACTCAGTCTCATGTCGCTTTAGAACCTTCTTATTCGATTGCGAGTTGGAACGAGTGGAAAGCGGCGTCGCGGCCGTTGAAGACAAACGTGGTTCATTAACCTCACATCATAAAAGCGTCGATACAGGCTCGGATGACGAGGGCGTTTATCCGGGCGGTCGCATGGCAGGCACTTATTCGGGCACGAATTTAGGTCAAAGCGTTTTCGATTACATAGAAAAGCAAAATGCGCGAAGCCCACAGTTTTTCAACTTTATGTACACGCCGGACTTTGAACATCCTGTAAGTAAGAGGTGACAAATGACTGCTTCTAAGCCGCTTTCTGGTAGGTTTTACGACCACAGTCCCATTTGCCGGTGCTCGACGTATGGAGTTACTACTTAGATGAGGATTTGAAGTACGGCCCAAGTTACGATATTGAAATTATTCAAATGGATTCCCAACAGGAAGAAGAATCGGAAGCTGCCGATGGAATTCTTAATAAGTCGTCACGCAGAGTAATCACTTTGGGGTTTGTATCTTGCCTAACTTAATGACTAAAATAAAGACCAGAAATAAACAATCAACGCTAATTGTGTCACCACAAAAATCAAGGATGTCCATTTGTTTCAGCTATGATGGGATTAGTAAAAGTGTACCTGATGCATTTAGCCATTTACTAGAGGAAATCCATAAGCTCGAAGCGGAACTTGGTCACCTGCCACAAAAGTGGAAGGTGCTTTGGGATAAATTAGAGCTTCCATTGAACGATTCATTAACAGTATGTCACGATACCTTCCTTTATGGTACCATTGAGTTTTGTTTGTAGCGTCACGCGTCGTTTAGTACGGCTCTGGTACGATCTCATGGTAGGCTACTTCACAAACGTTCGACATTAGAAATATTAATGCGCGGTAAAATGGTTGGAGCAGCAGAGGCGTCGTTAGTCTACTCGCATCCTCACAGATTTGAAAGGTACAATTATACAACTCCCACGTACTGTGATTTGTGTACAAATGTCTTGTGGGGACCAGTGAAGGTAAACTGAAATAGTCTCTGTTAGAATTCTATTTGGCCATTGCAGACGGGTATGAGATGCATGGATTGCGGTTATAGTTGCCACGAGAAGTGCATGGAGGGCGTACCTAAAAACTGTACAAAGTACAAAGCTGTTGCCGATGGCAACGTTAATCAAACACTTACGAGAAGTGGTGGTGATAATGGATCTGTTAGTTCAGGTTGGAATTAAAGTTTCCGAAGGAATTTCTTGGTACAAAGTCTATTTTAGGTAGCGCTAGACAAACATCTAGTCAGCAATATTATGAGCAATTTTCGTCAAACGTAGCCGAGAATCGAACCCACGAAGGATATTTGTATAAGAGGGGGGCCCTGTTAAAGGGCTGGAAACAAAGGTGGTTTGTGTTGGACTCCATTAAACATCAATTACGATACTATGATGCTATGGAAGATTCTCATTGCAAAGGTTTCATAGGTAGGTACATTACATTACATTTTTGAAAGAATTACACATTGTTGTCATATCCCTACACCCTTTGAAATTTCTAATTTTACAATACTGAATTAATATTTTAGTTACTATTATAGATACCAGTCTGGTTTTTTACCATGCAAATCCTTAAACAATAAATTTTGAAACACTTTCTTGAGACAACATTGCAAATTATGGGAACCAATATTCATATTATCCGTATTTCTATTTAGTATATTACATATTCACCCAACACATGAAGTTAAGCCACTCCCGCTAAATTTTGCCCAATGTAAGAAGACCCATTTAATTTCCAGAAAATTATAAAAATCGGTAAATTTAAAAAATGACTAAATTACCTTTATGCTTTTACGTATGGCAGGTTTAAGGTTATGAATGTTCATTCAACTACAGCAACTACAATTGAAAGCAAGTGGTTGTGTCTATGTTACAGGTTTCAAAAATTCAACCTATAAAAAATGTACATTCAAATGTGCCAGTTTGAATGAATAGGCAACAGGTCACTATTACTGTTTGCCTATGATACAATAAATACAGTTTGTCTGTCTGATGTTATATAGGCGGCTGAACCAATCCACACTAAATTTCGCCCGTACCCTCGCCCCCCCCCCCACGCCGTAGCGTGCGAACGAAGGGGCGTATCGAGTTGTGGTTTTGTGCGTTGGCTCCACAGTTCGACTCCATTTCAGAGACTGGATCGCACCCTACCACCACCCCTTCCTACACTGCTTATAAATGGCACTTTTTTGTATTTTCGATCGATTTAAGAAAATGCGCGAGGCGAGTCGCCAAAGAGATGCTTTCGGCTGTGTTTGAATGTGCTAATGATAATGATTGTATATAAACCAACCATAAATTTCGTCAAAAATTTACATATTCATACAATTATTAATTGGACGTTATAATACGTGACCTTTTTGGTGTCAAAACATTTGACTCAAAATCGTATTAATTTTTAAATTATCGGAAATTGAAGGAGTATGTGCATAGGGAGATGACGATTTAAATAAAAATCAAATCATCAAACCAATTTAGTTATTATTCATTGTAAGCAAAAAATTAACATAACCTTTACGTCAAAATAAACAATAGTTTTTCATGCGCCCGTAAAATTGGAATAGTAAAGTCTCGATCATCTCTAACCATCCATTAGGTGTGCATCGACAGATTATAGTCCAAATTATGACTCTACCATTTCTTTCAGATCTTGCAGAAGTAATGTCAGTAATGCAGGCACCTCCAGCCCCTGGAACTCCAAAAAAGACAGACGACAAATCATTCTTTGATGTATGTGGATATTAATTAATGGCAGTTATGTAAACTTTCAATTTTTAGTTACGTACGTCAAGACGCACATATAACTTCTGCGCGGCCGACGTCATTTCTGCACAAGAGTGGATAGAAAAACTTCAGGCTTGCCTTCAATAAAGCTGTAATCCAAAGCTCCTTTTAGTCATAATGTTTTATATCAGTTGACAATAAATGTTATTTGTTTGTAAAAAAATATGTTAGTTTATTGAATTATTGAGCGAGCATTATGTACGCAAAAAAAAACAAGTTATTTCGCTTAACACGCGCTTGCTCAATAAATAATAAAAGTAGGACTAAGTTACCTAAATATAAATATGCAAAATATGGATCTCTAACGTTTAATGCTGCAGTTTTATGTATGCAAATTTTTATACTGTCGTCCCTATTTAATCAAAACTTTCCAACTTTTGTTCTTTGTAAAGCCGAGTGGCATATGTTTCCTGTTGTAAGTTGTGTTTAGATATTTCTATAAATGTTTTGTAAATTAGTGATATACTTTTATTATGCAGACTTAACTTGCTTTTGCTATTGATCCTATAATTAACACTAAGCAATGCTGTGCTTTTGTACCATGGAAAATGCAGGGCATCTACGACGTGATTCCAAAGTCGGTTGGATGCTCTTTAAATTTGTGTACTAGCTACGATGTGCATGTTTCCATTGACAGCACATTTCTTCCAAATGCACAGTATAAGCTGCTCTGCCTCTTCCAACAAATGGCAAAAGCAAGATGTGATGCCAAGGCTCTCTTTTCCTTGTTAACTATTTTTATTATTATACCTGTCAGTATCACTGCATATCACAAAGTTTTCTTGTATTTTTGATAGTCAGGGAATACACTTTTTTCTTTAATTACCAAAATTACATCAGATTTACCATTTACAATGTGAACAAACAAAATATAGTCATATCAAGTTTTATTTTCTTTACTTGTAAATAATGTTTTCTCTCACAGTCAGAGAACTGCCAAGTCAGACTTGATGTAAGATCATAGAAATATACTTTTAAAGTAACCTCCTCTTTTTATACAGGTTGCACGATTACTTTAATTGCCAGTTGGTTATTGTCGATGAATCCTTGCGTGAATAAGTCTTCAATCAAAGTAAATTCGGTATACCCGAATCCTCTCGGATTTAAATCTTGCACTGGTCTTTTGAACGCTTCCAGTTCGGGTCTAGTCATCATGGTCTCTCGCATGTTGTGAAACGACTCTCTAAAATTAAGATTAGAACCAGTTTTTAACGGCGAAATACTCACAGTGGGTGGACGATAGTTACTGAAATTCGCCCACTAAATGGCCAGTCTAAGCTGTTGTCGTGATCGGTTTTCATCATATGAATTAGAATAGCTATGGAGTTTGGGTCTTTTGGTGATAGGTTGAAACGTATACACAGTCTGCAAGTTTAATTAACGAACTTGGTTACAATTGTCTGTCACTTACTTGTACCCATTCGGTGACGTATAAAAGCCAGAACTGTAGTGCATGAGTTGGTGGTTAACCCGCATTTGGTTAATTTTATTTTTAAAATCCGTAATATGCCATAAATAGCAACCATTGCAATATCGCAATGACAATTTGGACATAGCCAAATTATTTGCAGCAATTTGTTCCGACATATTTGCAATTATTATGTCTTGTTCTCTGGTCTTTTGTTCGAGCACAACAATTTTTTCGTATAGTGATCTGTGGACAGATTCCAGACCATTGCCGTTTCAACTGAAGTATATTACCTTAGCAAGTTATGAACAGATTCATTAGAATTTGAGGAATTTTGCATTGATCCATTCGCGTCGTTTTTTGATGGAGGGTCCCAAAAGTTCGCCTGCTCTGCTATAGCTGCGGTGCTTGAAGATGCAGAGTTACTTAATATAAGTTTCGAATATGCTTGAGATATTAGCTAAAACAAATCCCATAATCAATATACAGAATGTTTATTTTATTTGGTCCAGAACTATAGAAGTTATGAGGTTGGTTAAATTAGCAATCAATTTCTATTTTACAAAACTATTTTAATGAGAAGGGAAAAAAATTTTTGCAACCAGTGGTTCACAAACTGTGGATACTACTTACTACTTTGTTATTTTAAATGGAGCTATATTTCTTTTATTTTCTTATCGGCAGAGAATTTTATTCTGAATTTAGTGATATAGGTAATATTTATATACTCTTAGATAACAACTTTTATGAGAAAAATGCATTTATATTAGTTTTATTTTAAATTGACAAAATTAACGAATATGTGATAAACAATTACTTAGAAACAAAAACCCAACAAATACATAAATAAAAAATACTAAAAGACGGGGCAAGCCGTTAATACTAATCCACTGATTCGGGAACATATCATTTAAATATTGCATTACTCTTTGCTCATTGTGGGCAGGTACACCGTCTTGTTGATAATATAAATCTCTTACAACATTTAAGGGGACCTCACCTAGCATATTTGCCAACGTGTCTCTCAAAAATTGTAAGCACTGATCACCCGTGAGCATACCTTCATACATATAATAAAATATTTTATCTTTCAAAATAGCACACGAAATGTTAACACTACATTTTCTGTGAAATCGTTTCTCACGCACAATTATAGGGTTCTTGGTACTCCAATAATGATTATTTTTTGTATTAAACATGCCATTATTTGAAAAATTTTATTAATCTGTCCAGATAATAAATTTTAAAGTCTCTTCCTTCGTTTAACAAAAAATCACAAAACTCAAGGCATCTTGCATGGTCTCCAAGACATAAAAAGGTATTTTTTCTTGCTGTACACTTCGTAAATATCCAAATTTTCATTATTTTCTATTAAATTGAGCTAGTATTAACACAACAATAATAATTCAATTGACAGTTGTAAACCCCATAAATAGAGCTATTTGTTTCTGAATCTGAATCCATATTCCACTTGTTTCCTCCATGGCACACTTAAGTTTTTTCATTAAAATACAAATTGTTTGCTAATTTATCCGACCTCATACCTAGCTCTTATAGTTCTCGAGCAATAGTGGACAAAATAAAATGAATACTCGATATATGTATAACTCTTCCGTTACTGACAAACACAAACTACTGGGCGTAGCAAGCTGAAACTTGGGGATTGTAAGGGAGCACTAAGAGAGGATTTCTTGAAATTCATAGGGAACGGGAGACTTGAACATTTGGAAGGAATATTAGAAGGTGTTAAGGTGTACACTCGGGTATACATCACAGCACAATATTAAGATTCAAAGCATATTTGGGAATTTTTTTACCTGAATAAATATTTACCATCAAGTGTTTTTGAGTTTCTTGCTCCATATGCCTTTGTTGTTCGGGTTCATCTTCAAATTTAGCATCACAACCGAAAATGACAAAGTTACACCTTAACTTCTCGTTCTCTGGTAATTTAGGAAGTCCATATTTACAGTGTGTTAGATGTATCTCTACATCCAAAGGGGATAAATCTTCCAGACAACCTCGCACGACGTTAGGGCACTTTAAGCGCTGCTGCGAAATTTCTCTTCTGGTGAAATTATCTGGGAATATATCGTGATCTTTATCTAAAGGTTTGTTATCAACCGGACAGGCATTTTCTCTTCTAAAAAGAAAGTGATGAAATGCGTGTAACGGGTCGCGAATACGTACTCCAACCAGGATTGTATGCATTTACGGCAAAATCTGTGACCGCATGATGTTTGCATGGGATCCCGTAGCCATGCCAAACAAATGGGACATTCGAAGCGAGCCTCAGGAGCTTGTAATGGATCTGTTTCAGCTATTGAACTCTCCTGGGCCATATTCACGATGGGATCACTTAATTCTAATTTAGCAGCCATTGCTTTAAGAAACGCACACCCAAAGAAATGTCCTTGGCACCTGCTAAGTGACTACTGACCAGCATTTCGTACAAGAATGTTAAGTGAATCACATTAATAAATTCAATAATTTGTAGGTAGTGGGGTTGCTCAGGTACGTTATGAATTTAAATTAAAGTTGGAAAGCTCGGATCATTAAAAAAAACACCAATTTCCATGTTGCCTGATTGCTTTTTTTATAAGAAAAATATCGAATCAACTGTCAGGATTTCCTAGAACCAGGTGGCGGCTTCAGCGAAGTGAAGTGAGACACAGACAAAAACATCTGGCTGTCAATCTTTCAGAGCCAGAGCCACAGTGAAAAAAACTTTTTTGCTAAAACATAACCCATGTGATTTACTTAACTTAAAAAGAATTTTATTTATTTTATTGAAATGGCCGAAGCCACCGATTTTAGCATTTTCAAATCTGTATTCTTTTACTCCATATTAATTTTATTGCTACCAGTAGTCGCATTTTTCGTTAGTAAATTAATTGTATTCGATGGTAAGTAGGTCTAATTTTTGAAAGCCATGGGAACAAGGTGCACATTGTTTTTAGCCATGTTCAGCAAATCGGACACAGCGAGTAATGTTACATCTGCAATAATTGCGGTCGTTGTACTGCACGGCGCATTAGGATTGTTCATATACAAAGCCTATTCCGATCCAGAAAAGGGTCGGGAGAAGAAAGATGACAAGATCGATTAGTTATCTACAATGATTATATACTGTTCATAGTGTTAAGTGTGTTAAGGATAAGGATTTTGTTTACGTAGTATGTATGTAATATATTTGGTGGTAATAAATTTGCATGTATTACTATGACATCTTTCAATTCTGTACAAAAAATGCTGTCTTCGTTAGTTGTACTTGTATTAGTCCGGGAAATATAAAAATGGGCCATTTCCTGTAAAACAAGGAGTAGTTCCACTTTCTTCTGCATGTCATGGAGGGTCATCTGGTGATTATGAATTTTTCACATTCCCACCCCTTGTGCTTCCCTGGTACCACCCCTAAAATCCAGACATACTTTATAATTAAGTCGTATGAGAAAATATGCTCTTTACATTAACTGATCTGGCACACCTTTGTCTGACAAAGGATTGAAGATTGCGCTTTTGGCACGGCATCCATTGTTAACTTGAATCATAGTAATCAGATCAGATCTCCAATGCTCTAGATTAGACAAAAAAGGTGCCTTTAAAATAATAGCAGACAGGTAAAAAATTTGATTACTCGCTTATCAGTGAAATGCTCATGGTTGAGAAGATACTGCTTTATCTTGGTATCTATATAGGTACATGACTATACCTATATAGTGGTGTAAATTTTGGATATTTACGATAGCCCTCCTGTGACCTAAATAAATAACATGTTAGACCAACCAGTCCATCAAAGAGTGCAATTGAGTGCCATCTCTTACCACCAATTTGTCTAGGAATACAGTAGAGAAGATGACTCATATGGTTAGATTATTAGATACAAATTACGTGCTTCAATTGTTTCAAGGAAATAGCCCATTTCAGTGTCTTCTGTATGTTTTCCGACGTGCATCTAAATAACTGACGACCAAAAATGAATTGCTGCGCCTTGGGAAATTGAGTATGATTTACCATGTAAACAAAAATTCCAAGTGACTCGACAGCAACTCATTTTTGATCGCATAGTATGTTAGGCTGAAATGCCACTTCTGTACCAAAGGCCGAATTAGTTCCTCCCTACCACATTGAAGGTGCAAAATTACATCCTGAAGGACAATTGAAAAATACTTTGCTTGTGTGTGTTCTAAACATTGCTATAATCCTTTTGGACTTTTAGAATATACTGCTTTTTGACGTCGGCGCTAACTTATCTGGTTTGTCTTGACACAAGATCGATCACTTTGTGGGATATGGTAGTTAGCTTAAAATGATGTCACAAGTGCATTATACGCCAGAATAAGGAATGTGATTCCTGGTTATTACAAGGAACATTTTTTAGGCAAAAGACAAACAGTGAGAAAGTCATTTTTATTACATAATTCTAGATTCTTTTACAATTATTCATGTTGACAGATGTATCAAAAGTCTAAAATTAATAAA